TTCGTTAAAACCTTAACTGTACCCCGAACAACAACCGAAGTTGTAGGAAGAAATTCGCGTATTTTACCGATCTAGGTATCCCCCCTTTTCCAAATTTTAATATCGACTCAAAATAATTTAAAAAGACAAATTAGAATAAAACAGTTTATTATCCAACTATCAGAAATTTCACAACACGCCAAAGAAGAGAGGAAGGAGCAATTAAATAATGAAAATTATAAAGGATTTTAAAAAAATATATAAAAATGAGGAATATTGTACTTCTGACAATCGCTGCGAGTGTGTGGGTTAAATTTGGAGAATCCGTGCTTCTCGCATGGACAACTGTATGTGGCCAGCTCACATGTCGGAAAACCTTCTGATTTATTCGTATACGCACCAGACGGAAAAACAAAAAATATTGTGTATCCACAAACACTCCAATAAATAAATAGAATTGAAACGACACTTTGAAATGTTTTCCCGATGAAAATGAATAATAATAATAATAAGTTTCAATAAAAATGATAAAATGAAAATTTAATTTTATCATAACAAGTTTNATAAATAGAATTGAAACGACACTTTGAAATGTTTTCCCGATGAAAATGAATAATAATAATAATAAGTTTCAATAAAAATGATAAAATGAAAATTTAATTTTATCATAACAAGTTTGCTTGAATTTCGTTTCTTTTGAGATTGCAGCAGTGCGCGATGGGTAAGCTAGTTTGCTATAAAAAATAAATATAGAATCTATCTAATTACAAGATTATTGTAATGCTACATTTATTTTTTGAATATTGATTTGACCTTCGACATAATACATACATCACTAATTAGAGTATTATTTTTCAATTATAGTCACATTTTATTAAATTTAAAAGCTTTAAATTGAATGGATTTTGAGGCTAAACTTATAAATGTAAAATTTAAATACAATATGTTTTAAATTTAGAATCTACAGAGCTAGAGATGCAAATGATAGAAAATTAAACAAATAATGCAGTTTTCAACACAATAAAGATAATGATGATATTTTTTTCATAAAAGTTTTTAAAATAACCCATTTTATAAAGAAACAATGTTTCATAAAATGGCCATTTTAACACAGATGAAGCAGTTACATTAATATTCTGATCCTGATTTATAGACTACATGGTGGCTAAACTGCAGCTTGTGGCTTTTGTACACACTTACTGCATATAATTATTATAATCAAATATATAGGCATACATATCCATTATATGAAATACAGTTACAATAGAGAATGTGGCTCTTGTATTTCTTAGGAGCTGTCCATAAATTATGTCCTCATTTTTCTTGAAATTTTTACTCCCCTTTTCCCTAGTCCCAGTTTGTCCAAGTTTCCGTAATCACTTTCCTTTTTAGGATGTCCAACAAAACTCAACCCACCATAAAACCTTTATCACTTTATGAATGAAAGATATTGTAAGTAGAAACAAAACATACCAGAAATTTTGAAATAAATGTAATAAAATACATAAACTATATAAAATTTAATGAAATAAAACAGACATTCACTGAAGCTCAACCCCCTTATGCAATTTGTCACAACCCCCTCCTTCCCTTCTAGTGTTGACATCATTTATGGATAACCCCTTATAGGTGATATATGGCTCCTGTCACAAAAGGTTTGGCCAGCCCTGAACTGTTTAAAGAGTGGTGATTTAACTGTTCTGTCATATTTGCACATTTACAAGTATTTTTAAATATTACACAACCAAATATTTTATATTTAATAATAATACAGTAGAGCATCGTTTATCTGAAACGTCGGTTATCCAAAAGCATTCCAGTCAGCAAATTTAAATTTTCGCTAGTGCTGTGGCGCTGCAATCTTTGGCTATATCTTGGGCTACTCTAATATTTTTTTTTGGTTTAGCTGGCAGCACTGGCAGCTAAACCAAATGTTTTAGCTGGCAGCACTGGCACTTTTGTGTGGTGTTTTTCTGAGAACTGTGTCGTGCCGAATCGAATGTTTTTGATACTAGATCATCTTCTAAAGTATATATTTTTTGGTTTTTATATTTTTCAATATATTTATTTTGTTTGTAAGAAATAAAGAAATAATTTTTAACGATACAATAGCCACGATTATTATTTTAAAAAGTATACGTTAGGCTTAACATTCACGAAAATTCAACGCGAAGCGACATGCAACGGAGAAAAATTTCAACATGGGATAGGTTAATATATTTTTTCGTACATAATCGGTTATCCGAAAAATAAGTTATCCGAACAACCTCAGTCCCCAATTGATTTGGATAAACGACGCTCTACTGTAATTAATTCAAACTTTACATCCAAAAGAAAAACAACAAAACATTATACTAAATTAACTTCTCTGACTCGAATTTAAAGTAAATGCTGACCTCTCTTTATTAGAGGTTTTAATATCAAAATTGCTTTTGACAAGGATTAAATCTAACAAATTTTTAATGTCTGTTCCTGAAGATGAAGCAGTAATGAATCTGAAAGTTTTCGGGTATGAAAATGAAAGTTTTTAAAAGAAGTTGGACTTAAATAAAGTGGCCGTTGTTCAAAAAAAACTTATATCTAAATGTAATTAATAATGTTTGAAAAAATTGCTCCAATTTGTTATTCTATTACTAAGTTGTTATGTTGTTTATACAGTGGGTGATCGGTTAACGAACATAATCTGTTCCAAGACTTTGTTCGTTATCCGATTATCGATTTACCATAGGTTTGTATGGGAATTTGATTAATTCGTTCCGAAGACTTCAAAAAATAAAAAAAATAAATACTTTTTTTACTACATTTATTTACATGTAATAGTAAAAATACATACATATGCTGTCTTGCATTTTTATTAGTCATGTTTTATCCGTTTGTGGGGGTTAAACAATAGTAGTATTGTAATTGTAGATATCCCCAACCCAATGAACCTTATTCTGCTTTGGTTGCCACTTGGATGATATAACATCCTCCCACTCCTTCAAAAGATCTTTAGTAGCAGATGTCGACATTGGTCCTCTTTCGTCTTCCTCTTTTCCAAAAGATAACACATTTCGCTGAGTTTCTCGGTATTCTTCATTTGAGAGTTCTTGGAGTTTTTCTGTCGTCAGATCAATTTCAGGTTCCATTATTAGCTCTAAAATGCTCTTTATTTCTCAGACATAATTTTCATTACTCCATTAACAGCTTGAGACTTCTTGATATATCTTTCATAGCTAAGATTGAGCCTACTATAGACCTGTTCTAGCCATACTGCCTAGCAATATCAGACACCTTGTGCTCACTTTCTACCTTGGCTATTATCTCTTACTTGGTTTCTACGGTGAGCACAGTTCTTGACACTCCTCTTTTTAGGCTCCAAAATATTATCCAGTTTTTTTAAATAAAAAGTTCGGAAAAGCACTAAGAACAGAAATCAACTAGGCCACAAAGAACAGAAATCAACTAGGCCACAAAAAATTATTTAAATACAAGGCCCAAATGAAATTCAAAATTTGGTATTAAAACGTTAACGAATATCCTTTCACCTTTCGTAAATAAACCCCGAAGCAAAATTTAACAAGTACCTGTCCGACAGTCTCGCGAAGACTACAAAAATTATTTGTCAGAAAGGTAAACAAAAAGCCAGAATTACAAGAGTGAGTTTCAAAATTTGGAGGAATACTATCCAATCGGTATCGAGTTGAGAGTCGATCTTACATCTCCCATGCTCCGGAAGGTTTCGAATTGTTACCTGAAGACGAGGGAAAATCAATTGGTATTCGTTATTTTCGGTCGCTTCTTTTTATGTTTATTCAATAAAGTGTTTGTTATCCGAACATGTGTTTGTTGTCCGATCATAAAAATCTTTCGCAAAAGTGTTCGTTATCCGATTTGTTCGCTATCCGAACTGTTCGTTAACCAATCACCCACTGTATTATAACTGTAGAAGTATCTTCTAGAGGTCACTTATTATGGTAGTCTTTGGAAAATATTGTTTGAGTTTTGTAATGAAAATTTTTGACAACATTGAGAGAAATAAAGGTCTTTGCTGTTTTTTTAAATAGATTATATAAAGTTTTGAATTTTTGTAGTGGCAATTTCATAAACAGAAAATATATTTGCTTTAATGAGATTAAAAAACAAAATAAAACATAATAATCATAAGCTTAGTGCTTTTAGACTTAGGTTCATCAGGAATGTTTAAATGATTGTAGAACAGTGATTATCAAAGTATGGTTCATGGTTTGCAAAGTGATCCATGACTCTAATTTTGAGAAACACCCTCACACTGGTGGTTTGTGAGCATGTGCCAGGTGGTTTACAGATTGACCTAGTCATCTTTCTAAAATGCAGTTCTGTACTATTTAACTAGAGAAAAGAAAATTTCATACATCACATATCTCTTACATTAGTATAGTAGATTGTATGCCAAAATATGTTCTCTCTCATTATCTAAGATGATATAAAAAGTGGACAGAGCATAGATGGTTTGTAGCTCTTCTGTGACTTGGTTTAACTGGTCCACAGATTAATAACTCTGAAAATCACTGTTGTGGAACACTGTTAACGCAGTAATGAATTAAAAATGACTGTGTTTAAATTTATAGAATCTTTTATGTATTGATGATTTATGTTTTTACTATTTATAATGTAATTATGAAATTTTTTAGTCATATTAACACATACTCAAATGTTTATTTTTGGTCTTCTCTTTTTATCAATATAAAATTCTACATACATCAAATTTATTAATTCATGCATATAAAATTTGAATAGTGGCCAATATGATTAATTATTGAAACCATTATTATTATTAATATTGCATGAAGTAATAAAAATCCAAATATAAATATTATATATATATTACTGCTATCATTACTACATTAATACTGTATTGATATCATTATTAATATATACAATCTTCATATTCGATTCTTGATATATATTAAAACCAAAAATATCCTTATAATAATATATATTAATATTTAATCAAATATAAGTTTTAGTTATGAAAATAATTATATTATTAATTCTTTCAGTTGAGACAGTTTCAAAAACGACAGAAAGAAGCTACGACAAAAGAAGATTTAAACTCTTCTTTAAACGAATCTCCTCCTCCTGTAAAAGAAAAGTTAGAGGTTAGTGAGAATTTTTTTTCTTTATTACTAATTATTATTTTTCTCTTCATTTTAAAGAAATGTGTACCAAAATATAATCAATGGTTTTCTAAATCATTTTAAATAAAATATCTACTAATGTGAGGTAGATAATAATAAGGGCATATCATTTAATTTAATTATACCAATGGCTAAAAGCAATTCTTTGTAAATCATTTTACTTTTCCAGCTGTTACATATAACAGAGGAAAAGTATGTTGCTTGGTCAAAAAATGACCCCCCCCCAAGATTTTTACATTTTGGACTTAGGATACCTTGAAATGTCAAGAAATGCAAAAAAATTCAGGCGTTTTTTTCTGTATTTATGGATGTTTGTGTGTGTGTGTGTGTGTGTGTGTGGGGGGGGACAATTTTGTTTACTCTGTTTGAACCTTAATAACATCTGTGCTTTTTGTCAAAAATTTCTGAAATTTTACACGGAGGTTTATTTATTAGGGGGATTGATGCTAATAAATTTTGGTGATTAAAGGTCGAGGGGTGGTGAGATGATGAGGTTTGTGTGTATCTCCAGTAGGGTTGGACTTAATGACAATTTTACTTGTTATTAGCATTTACAATGTTTTGTAAAACCATCGCTACCCTCAAAATTAAGCTTTTTGCCATTTTATAATACAGTAGGACCTTGATTATCCAGACTAATTGAGGATGAAAATAGTCCGAGTAAGAAAAAATCCGGATAATCGAAAAAATAATAATTGACAGTGAAAGACATGTGCATACAGTATGAATAATTTTTGTCTAGATTTACATATACTGTAGCTTCAATATTAAATTATTTTCTATTAAGAAACTCAATTATTGTTTAATTTCATAATTTTTTCACTTTGTTTTTTTATATCTGAGATAGTTGACGTTCCAACACCATATTTATTAGATAATGAACATCCAGACTCATTGCGTTTCAAAGCATTGATTATATCCAATTTGTCTTTAATGATAATACAACACGTTTTCTTTTCGATGACATATCGGTAATATTAAAATAAATACTGTATTTAAATCATGATCAAATTTTCAAGAAACAAACGTTCATACTGAATTTGGACTACTACTGACCGGTACTAACAGACTGCCTATTGTTTAATGGCCCTCTGGTGGCGCAAGAAGACAGATTTTATAAAATACAGTAAAAAGCAGTTGAAATTGTCAAATTTTTATTCATAAAAATGAAAACTATTTATCGTTTTATGATGAGAAAAATTTTTTTATCGTGTTCACGACTTTTAAGTAATGCTTAAGGGTCGAGTTATAAACTCCATAATGTAACCGTATCCGTAGCCATAAGCATATCCGTATAGCATGGTTATAAAGTCCGTATCGTATCCGTATGGTTGTACTGTATTTCGTAAGAAAAGTTTGGATCGATCAAACTTTTACGGTAGCGATACGGAAATTGACCAACTGCGCATGCGCTAATCGTAGTCGATGATGATAGTTGTTGCCAGATCAAGCAAAAAGTAACAAATTGATTGAAAAGTAACTTTTGACTGACAATGCTACTTCTAAATAATATAAAATTTTAAGATAAGAATTACTTTGGTCATAAAAAAATAGAAAAATGATAAAATGAATAAATAATTATAGTGTTAGATCTGGCAATAACTATAGATGATTTTGCGCATGCTCACAATGGATTGCTCCGTAAACCGTAAGAAAAGTTTGTTCCCTTACGGATACGGATAAGCCCTTACAGTAGTTTATAACTATTGCTAATAGATATCCAGTGTAGCAAACATTTACGGATACGGTTACGTTACGGAGTTTATAACTCGACCCTAAACCTTTGAGATGCAAGGCCCCTCAGACCGCAAAACCATAGCGGTAACCCACATCCCCATGCCTTATGCCACCCTTGGCCATAGAAATGATGTAATTTCAATATAAATTATTTATAAATATGTATGTCAAGTTATATTTTTATTATGATGCAAAATGTATTAAAAAGTTTACAACCATTGTGCCGAGTGAGATGTTGGAACAAAAAAGTTATGCGTTCCATCATGTGCATAAAAAGTATCGCAATTTGCCAAGTGCAAATCAGCAAAATTTGTAAAATTTTTGTTTATTTTGAACAATCTGGATAATCGAAAATCCGGATAATAGAGGTCTGGATAATCGAGGTTCTACTGTAGTTAAAAATATAACAAGATTTTTTAATAAAATATGATAACAGATGGTGCCATCAAAATTTTAAATGTTGCTGGGAAAGTTTAGCAACTTGTTGCTGGTTTATTTTTCTTGAAGTTGAATTTCTAAACTCTTTAAGCAATATCTCGAAATCTATATTCATAAATTCAGGTTTTAAGAATATCAGTTGTAGGTTTTACAAGGTAAAACGTTTTGTCTGGAAATATAATATTTTTGTGATGTTTATGAATTGTAAAAATAAATTTAAGATTGCACTTTTCAGCAAAACTGCATTTGTCATAAACCACAGTACATAAGTCATAAGTACGACCACAGTCATAAACAACCTAAAGTTTGAAATCAACCTGTTCCAGAGGACATTCCAGCTTTTGTTCTTATTTTTAAAGTGTAATTTGTTTCTTTTTATCATGAGGAAGGTCGTTTAAGATGACCAAAAATGTTTGGAATCCAAAATTATACTGTATTTTTAAAGGTCTGAGTGGTAGTACTGTGGAAATTTAAGATTTTATCATTAATTAAATTTAATTATTTTATACAGGGTGCTGTAGGTCTTCAGTAAAAACTATGTGATTACAACTAATCCAAACCAAATATCTAATTATCAGATTTATCAGGTTATATTTATGCTGCTAATTTAATCAATTAACTATATAGGTGGGAAATTAAGTTGCTAACTTATATCAATATTAATAATTAGAAATTAAATTAAAATTAAAATAGGCAGTTAGGTCATCTACCTATTCTATTTTAATTTAATTTTGGCAAATTATTTAGTTAGTGAATTAAATTAGTAGCCAAATCTAGTCTAATAAATCTGGTAATTAGAGATTTGATCTAATATTAATAAATTGGACTGGTATAATTAATCTGTTAAAAAATTTTTCAGTTCTGTTTAGCAATAAATTAATTTATAATTAATTAGTTATATTAACAAGATTATCTCTTCAATGACCTTAACAAGTAAACTTTTACATTTTTTTTTTTTGGAGAGTAAAAAAAATGATTTAAGGGATTTAGAAAAGATATTTCATTTTTGGTCTTCAAGAAAACAAAAAAGTTTACCTAATTAATTACAATATTATTTACCTAATTAGTATATTGGAGATATTTGGTTGAATATTAGTCACTGCTAGTTTTAAATTAGTTTTGATGCGAGTCTGTTAGCCGATTTCTTGTTTTAATTTTTACTAAATTCATTGCAGAAAAACTGTTCACATACATAAGTTGCAGAAAATAATGATAGAATTTTTGCTGCCTACTTCTTTAAGCTGGGAAATTGATATATTTATTAATATTTTATGCAATGCGGGCCACACAAAATATTAATGCAGGTTGCGAGTTGCCTACCCCTCTCCAAATCAAGATTTTCTGTAAAGAATTATGAAAAAATGTTTTACTTTTGTAAGTATATTATTAATTTGGTTGATATACATGCACAGGTTGTCCCTTAAATCTAGAACCATAGGAATTATGTTGAACTTTGTTTATTCTTTTACAAGTAAAGCATGATGCTGAATAAAGAGGAGTGAATTTAAGTTATTTTGATCGTGGGAACCCACAATCAGTATAAAGTCTTCAAACAGTTTTAACAGGCTGCATCCAGATTTTTCATTAATCATATATAGCAGTCTGTCACAATGCCAGGCTGTAATTTTTAATTATATTTTAATTTATTTAATTTCAAATATATGCTCTCCACTTCAAATTAGTACATCTGCCTCTGTACATCATACTTTTCCTTTAACAATAGAGTTTTGCCGGTCATCTATTAACTGCTTTCAGGGGAAAAATTTTAAATTGAAATAACATGACTTCCAGTTTACATTGAAAATTTGCATACAGTTAATTGGGGCCTCCTGTCCCTAAGATTTCTGTATCTGGTCTCTGATTTTATTTAACTAACTTTGTTCTCAAGATTAAGGAAAGAAAGACAGACGACAGTAGGAATTTATAGGTCTACAATTTTTTCAAATTGTAGCCCAATAACTCCTATGGTTCCAGATTTATGGGATGCATGTTAAATTTTTTATGCTAGTATTGTCAAAGTTAGAATTACTTTGAACATAACTACTTACCTAAGTATTGACAAATAAAGAATTATATAACTTTTCACTGTAAACTTACAAACATCTTGAATTACAGAAAGACACTGTACAGTGTCTTTTAAATTCAACAACTATAATATGTTAAATTCAAAAATACTGCTGAAAAAATATTGTTTTGAATGTATCATTTCTACATTTTCCTTTCATTAAGAAATGTTTGAGACATTTCATTCATTTTATGCTGTTGCTTCACATCTATCTTTATCACTTTCCTTTTTCTATGAGTAATTCTAATAATAAAAAGATGATAATTTTATCTTTGGAGAAATTTATTGCCTCATATATTGAATTAGAAAATTACTTTAACATCTGGAAACTATTGTGTGACCTTTCGGGTCGGCACCTCTTTGGTACCCTGTCAGGATTGACATCACCATGTTTCTCGAAACACGGAAACCGAGACAGCTATTACGTCACGCCGTCGAGCGAGTGGTCCCATACGTGGTCAGACGGATTCGTAATGTCGATTCGAGAGACAACATTGGAAGTGACTCAGATACAATTAACAATTAACAAGGGTTTATTTAAAAATCTATTGGAAAAAGGGTGGTCGCGGAGAGAGAGAGTTCACATACGATTCGCGGGATGATAAATACCTTTCTTTGGTAACAGATCCCGGTCGGGTCTTGTTGAATCGGAGAATAAGAGCTTCCTATGGGTTTTTCAGGATGTATCCAGTTCTGATGGGTATTTTTAGTTATCCAGGCGAT